TGGCTTCACTGAAAGTCCATATTTTAATATAATCCTAAGCAAATATCTCTTCCTCCTACTTTTACCTGGTATAAAAGACACCAGATCCCATTTGATCTTTGAAGCTAAATGTGGTAAGCTCAGGTTAGTACTTGAGTGGGAGACTATCAATGAATACCCAGGAGCTGTAAGCTATATTTCAGGGGAAGGAACTGGCAAAAGGACTTCCAAGAAAACCCTATTAAATTCATGGGGTTGCCATAAGTAGACAGGTGACTTGAAGGTGCATGTACACCTAGTAACTTGCCCCAGACCAACAGCTTTTCATTTCTCCTGGTCAGTCGCAAGGCCGAACAGGGTATAGGGTTACAGCCTGTGCTGGACGGGGTCGCACTCCCCTTGAAGGCGCAGGTTCGCAGCTTGGGTGTGACCCTGGATTCATCTCTGAGCCTGGATCCCCAGGTTTCAGGGGTGACCAGGGGAGCATTTGCACAGCTTAGGCTCGTGCGCCAGCTGCGCCCGTACCTTGGGAAGTCTGACTTGGCCACGGTGGTACACGCTCTGGTCACATCCCGCCTTGACTACTGCAACGCTCTCTACGTGGGGCTGCCCTTAAAGACGGCCCGGAAGCTTCAGCTAGTCCAGCGCGCGGCAGCCATGTTACTAACAGGAGCGGGACGCAGGGAGCATACAACGCCCTTGCTGTTCCAGCTCCACTGGCTGCCGATCTGCTACCGGGCCCAATTTAAGGTGCTGGTGTTATCCTACAAAGCCCTAAACGGTTCCGGCCCAAAATACCTCTCTGACCGCATCTCGGCCTATGAGCCCACGAGGGCCTTGAGATCGTCTGGGGGGGCCCTTCTCTCGATCCCACCGGCCTCACAGGCACGTCTGGCGGGGACGAGAGACAGGGCCTTCTCGGTGGTGGCTCCCCGGTTGTGGAACACCCTCCCTGTTGACATCAGACAGGCGCCCTCCCTTATGGCTTTCCGTAAGAGCCTAAAGACCTGGCTATTCGAGAAGGCATTTAACTGAGAGCTACACGAATTGGTAATGACAACTGGAACGGAATATGGATTATGAGATTGGCTATGATTCTATGTTGTGACGGTGCGGATTTGTTAATGTGTTTAGATTAATGTGTAATATGGTTTGTTGATATATTGTGTGCTTTTGTAAACTGTTTTTTATATGTTGTACACCGCCGCGAGTCGCCCCAGGGCTGAGAGCGGCGGTCAACAAATGCAGTAAATAATAAATAAATAAATAAATATAGAGCACTGATGTTTCTCAAGGTAGCTTGGGTTAGAGTCTAACCCAATGACATGAAGAATCAGGATGAAGTCTAAATATTTGCATTGATATAATTGTAATGAAGATAATGAAATATTATCAAAGGGTGGAACTGTTGTTTCCTCATTTTTCTGGATAAAAAGAGCATATTTCTTCATGGCTATGGAGTAAATATTTAAAATGTAGATGTCGTGCAACTAGGAGGATTGTGATTTTTTTAATCACAGTCCTCGTCATCATTGATTATTGGCTATGCTGACTTGGAGTGATGAGAATGTATCTCAAGATGAATATTTGAACAGACAGAAGTTGTGAAGTATTGTCATGTGACTCCAAGTGGACTCTGTCTTATGGCAACCTTATCCTAGTGCTTTCTTGACAAGACTTGTTCATAGGGAGGTTGCCCTTGCCTTCCTCTGAGACTGAGAGAGTATGACTTGATCAAGGTCACCCACAGGGTTTCCACTCTTGAACAGGGATTCCGACATTCAAATCATTAGACTATAATATGTCTGGGTGCTGGTATAGTTTGTGCTAAAACATGATTACTTTTGTATAACTACAAGGGACTTCAAAAAGTGTGACAGAACTGGTCTTATTTTTATTATTGTGATTTCCGTTTTTTTATTTATTGTGACTGTTACTGTGTATATTGTTTCTATGTTGTGAGCCACCCCAAGTCCCTTTGGGGAGAGGGGGCGGTATATAAATAAAGTTTATTATTATTGTTATTATTATTATTATTATTATTATTATTATTATTTCACTGACACAAAAACACAGTATGTCACAGCAAATGAGATTTATATGCTGGATTTCGTGTCATAAAATCACAAGTCGAACACTTCCCAAGAATCTAGGACTGTGTGATGTATTTTTGAATGATGCACGCAGAACCAGGCAAGGTGGACTTTTGCAGTTGACAGATCGTGATTTTGTCAATGTTTATTATTTCCAAATGCCGGCTGAGATCTTTTGGCACAGCACCCAGTGTGCCAATGACCACTGGTATTATTATTATTTTGCCATATACCAGGACGTTGTTTGAATTATTTAATGAAATGTAGCTGGACTATGGAGATCACTCAATGGCAGGCACTTGAGGCATCTTCCTGAAGTGCTTAAAAATAAACCTCTAGAAAATGCATTAAAACTCAAAAGGAAAAGATGAGTCAAGAGAGAATAAAATAAAAATAATAAAAGTCAGTAAGGGATCATGTAAAGCACAAGTAAACCAAGTTCCATATCCTTTTAAAAAAATCAGTGGATAGAGGCAATATTACAGGGTAATATTTTGTGTATACAGCCTTGGGGAAATGCACTCATGTGGTTAGAAAACTAATGTGAGTTTTAGGGAAAGGATCTTCAGCTGGGACGTGCATTTTTTTTTTAAAAAAATGACATGTATTTATTGCATTTATAATATCCCACGTTTGTTTAACGGAGCTCAATATTGTGCTCCTCCTCTTGTGATTTTGTCCTCATTTGAGATAAGCAACCATGGTGCATCTACAATGTAGAATTAATGTAGTTTGTCACTACTTTATCTACCATGGTTATGAGAGCTGTCATTTTATAAGGTCTGCCAAAGAGTGCTGGCGCCTCATTGTTGTCGAACACAACACCCCCACCCCAAGGATTTATAATTCACCAAGGACTATATCTAGTTCACCAAGGCCTAAACCAAATAAAATGCCCCCCCCCCCTTTTCACAAGACCCCTGCAGCCCCAGCAATGGACTAGCAGCCCCAAATCTCCCCCGGTAACTTATTGCTCATTATATATATATATAATCTGTAGTTATGCGCTGATTTGTACCAGTGCATGTATGAACCAGGTCTTCAGTAGTGAATCTCTTGCAAAGTCAATGGCTCCCTAAACATTTAATGAAATGTATCTTTCTTTACTACCTCTGCCTACATTATGCCCCCTCTTTGCAGCCTTTGCCCATATTATATCTTTTATTCCCTATCCTATATATATATCCAAAATATATTTTGAAATATGATTTCTGCCAGAGACAGCCACAGTGTCATCACCTCCCTGTTGACCCCATGGAGGAATTTCTTGGACATTCAGGTTGGGCTAATACCTTGGGGAAAAGTGAAAATCAAAGACTCATTGTGTGTGTGTGTGTAGTTCAGTGGGAAGTTTCAGTTCTCAATCCGATATCTCTGATTGTCTCAATTGAGCTGAGAGATGGCTGGCCATGGAAATGGAAATCCAAAGTACATGCACACATTGGATATCTATTTTATACTCAAGGCTTAATTGAAGATCACCATCTTTTGTTCTGAAAGCCCGTTCCCTTGTTTTTCCCATGTGATTTCCTCCTTGCCAGAGACTAAGACAATTAAACCTAATCCAAAACACATTTACATTTCCTGACTTGGACAATGGACTTTTCTGGGTCTCACCTCCTTTGCAAGGAAGTCACTCCCAACAGCTGATAGGCCCTGACTGGGCCAGCCTCTTCCATCTCTGCCCCTTTGCCAAGGAATCCCCACATAGAGGCAGCAATATCACCACTGTGCCAGCCAATCAAAGTGATGCTTCAGACTGGCCCCTCTGCCATCCTATCAGAAAAGGGAGCGGATGAGTGGGAAACTTGAATGGCTGTCAAATGTATAAAACCTCATGTCTGTGTACTGTATGGTTATGCTTGTACATTTTGGTGCTAACCATACTTGCATCCTTTCTGGCCAGATTGCTAATAAACCTCTGTGGCTGCTTTCAACAGTGAGTGTGTTCTTCAACTGGAACATCAGACTTTAACGTAAATGCTTTCCAGGCATAGGCTCTCTTTATCCACATTCCTAGTCTAAATTCAAACTCATCATCAAGCTACCAAATCCCAGAATTCCATAGCATTGTGCCATGGCAGTTCAAGTGAGGCCAGACTTCATTCATTCCACAGTGTAGATGCATCAGCAGTGAACTTCATGGCTGAATGAGGTTTGGGGTCCAACTCTTCCTGATCCCAGTGCTTTATCACACTAGAACTGAAAAAGAAAAAAACAGGCAAAGAGTATGCATCCCATCTGAAATCCTGTGGCTGCCTCCTTCAGAATTCTGGGGCTTGTAGTTTAGGGGAGGGGCCTTTAAAATGCTCAGCCAGAGAGGCCCCAGGTCCTGACTAACGTATAAAGCCCCTCTTGGTCATCCCTGCAAACCACAACATGGAGCCCTTCCACACAGCCATATAACCCAAACTATCAAGGCAGATAACCCACAATATCTGCTTTTAACTGAATTATTTGAGTCAACTGCCATATAATCCAGTTCAATGTGGATTTTATACAGCTGTGTGAAAGGGGCCTTAAACTAGACCCAGCATGATTCATGCAGATTACAACCTAGAAATGTGCTTGGCATGTTGGAGAAGCTCTTGGAAGCCATCAAGTAAGCCAGAGCTTAGTAAAGTTACATTTGAACTAAAACATTGAACATCCTGCAACCAACATGACCACTGTACACCCTGAAATAGTGTTTCCAAATTGTAACCATCACCGGATGAAGTACATTTGCTAGTGGAAACCAGTCAATTGACAGGTTTTGAATGAACTTCTGCAATTCTTTTACATAGTGGTAATCAGGGCATTTCAGCATAAAAGAAGGAACTGAAACTAGAGGTTGCCAGAATGGTGATACTATGAGAATTGGGTGGGGTACTAAATGAATGGAGCTGGAAGGGCTGAAAACACCTCTCATTAAGGAAGTTCCAGTCAGGAAGAATGGCACAGAAGGAGCAGTATGGAAACTGGTTGCCCATTCCTCAGCTGCCAAGAACTAGGACAGAATTACAACAGAATGGTAAGACCAGAGTTGGTACTTGGGGAGAGAACGCAGAAACAGAAACACTTACACTATGCCTTGTTATGACATGTGAAACAGCTGGACTACTCATTTTAGAATAGTGATTTTCACACCATTGTGTGGCTCTTCACACCACACAACAATAGGATTGCATTCCTCTTTAACTGCCCTGGATGCATTCTGTGGAATTCTGGGGTTTTAGGTTTGATCCAAGGAGCTCTCCAGATGGGAACTGAAAAGGCACTTCCCTAAACTACCAATCCCAGGCTTCCATAAGACGTTTCAACAGCAGTTAAATTAAAATATAGAACTATAGTTGTATTTTGCACTACCCAATTATGGTGTTGTGAGTTTACTTTAATGACCACAGTTGATCTAAATTGTAGGTTTGTAGTTTGGTCAGAAGAAAAGTAACTCTGGCTGAGAATTCTAAATACCTGGCCAATTGTTGTTTAGGGTTTATTTATTATTATTATTATTATTATTATTATAACTTTATTTGTACCCCGCTAGCATCTCCCAAGGGATTCGATGCGGCTTACACAGGCCGAAGCCCAAAACACAATACAACAATACAATACCTAAAGCAAATTAAAAACAGTTAAGCAGGAAAACAATAACAGTAACAATACAACAAGACACTATTAAAACTGGGCCGGCCGGAGTAGGGGTACAGGATTAAAAGTGCTGATGTGGCGGGAGGAATATAGGATTATAATATAAGTGCGGTGTGCAGTGTCCAGTGATCTTGGTTCTACTAAGGTGCTTCTAGGATTTGGTGCTGGAGGTTCCTAATCTGAAAAGGCACATCGGAACAGCCAGGTTTTCAAATTCTTTCTGAAGACTGCCAAAGTAGGGGCTTGTCTGAGATCTTTCGGGAGGGCGTTCCAGAGTCGGGGGGCCACTACAGAAAAGGCCCTGTCTCGCGTCCCCACCAAGCGCGCTTGCGACGCAGACGGGATCACGAGCAGGGCCTCTCCAGATGACCGGAGTGAGCGTGTGGGTTCGTAGACAGCGATACGGTCATTTATATGCCGCCCTTCTCACCCCGAAGGGGACTCAGAGCGGCTTACAAGTAATATGTAAATACAATATATTATATTATTACCATAGCACAATATTAGTATTATATATTATTATATTGTACTGAAATATTATTAGTAATCTTACATGTAATATAAAATATATAATTATAATATCACATTATTGTTATATTATACTACATTATAATATTATCAGTATTATTGTATATGCAATATATTATATTATATTACATTATTAGCACAGTGCAGGAGACAAGATGGAACTCTCTTCGTGGCCCCCTCTCTTCACTCTGGTCCCAGAGCAGCAGTTGGTGCTGGAGGGAGGGGCACCCAACTGATGACACAGGAGACAAGATGGAACTGTCTTCCTGGCCCCCTCTCTTCACTCTTCACTAGTGTTATTTAACTTTACTCTAATTTCAGATATTGGTAATTTATGGTCTGTACTACAATCTGGTCTTAGCCATGTTTTTGCAGAGAATTTCACTCCTCCCCCTTTTTTACTTCCAATTATGTAGTTTACTTGATTTTTATATTGACCAACAGATGGTCAATATAAAAGACACGTACAGTCACTTCTTGGATTGCTTAAATAATGTGTTTACAATGAAGAAACTGTTGGGTTCACAAAATTCAGTCAGTCGATTTCCTACTTTATTTCTTGATTTCAGGCCAAATTTCCTTTAATCTGCTCTGTTTATTATTTTTGTAACAACTATGATTAACAAGAATTCTGATTTTCGTGTGTGATCAATTCCCTCCTGCAGTTCAGCACATAATCTTTCAGTTTCTTCTTCCTCCTCCTCCTCCTCTGTAGCTGGAACAAAAACTTAGATAATGGCTATCTTGATAGCTATATTGAATTCTTATTTATATTATACAGTGGAAGTTTGCATTATATTCCCTGGCTGCTTTTACTTCATCTCTCCTCACTATTAATGCCACACCATTTCTTTTTAGGTTTTCATTTCCTGAATAAAACACTGTGTAAATATCCAAGTCAAAATTTCCCATTCCTGTCCACTTTAGCTCACTCACTCAAATGTTTCACTGTTTATATGTTCCATTTCTTTCTTTTTCCCATATAATTTTTATTGCAAATAAATGAGGAACAGGGAAGGGTACTATGTTTTATTGTGTCTAGCTTCCCTTGATCAATTGTTCTTCCATTCCATGTTCCTATAAAATGTGTTGTGCCGCTTCAAACTTTCCTTTCACCTCTGAACACAGCAACAGCTAAATATCCTTTCAGCTTGAATCCATTGCATCATTAGCTATAGCGCTATTTGTGGTTGTCCTTTGCTGTACCCCAGTAACTCATTGAGTGCTGTTCAACTGGGAGTTTCATCTTCTGGCACTGTCACTTGTTTTGTTTTGAATTGTTTTATCATAGGGGTTTTGTGGTAAAATATATTTATCTGTGTCTCCTATATAATACCAATAAGTGTTAGCTATGGTGCCATTGCTGTTGCCTCTGAGAGATCTTCTGCCAGTGTCAGCTCCCACTATTGCTGCTGCCCATTAGCTGTTTGGCACATTTAGCAAAAGTCTTTCTGACATGGAAGATCATACCAGCAACACTGATGCTGACAGTATAGACCCTTAACTCATAGGAACACATAATCCCACCAGTGCAGAAAGGTAGTGTCATTGGTGGATCTGTCCTATACTTGCCAACATTTCATGGCATAATTTATTACTGAGGAAAATCATGCACACAATGAAAAGCTGCAGCAGTTTGCTTTTTCCCGAGTGAACTGGGAAGGGCAAGACTCCACCACTTTTATTTCCTCCACCCAAAATCATTAATTGAGTCCAAATTATTTTGGCACTTTGAACTATTTTTTGTGGCCAATGAAGTAAACTTAGGACAAACAGGAAAAAGTGGGGACAGGGGTGGGGAGAGGAGAGAGAAACTGCAATGCTTTAAAAGCACCTCTTAAAAGTGGGAGGAAAGGTAAGTAATTGTCATGATTGGAAGGTGTGCTGTCCAAAAGTGCAAATCCCTGGATTCCATTTAATAGAACTATGGCAGTTAAGATTGAATCATACTGTTATAATAGTATAATGTGAAAGGATCCCTGGTTTTTCTCAAATTGCAGTTTAACCTTTATTTCCTTCATGGATGTCTAACCTACACCAGCTTTTGGAAAGTGGGTAGAGAATGATATGCTTTTCTGCCAGTGCAATTCCCAACCCCCTGAGAGAGTCTCCTGTTATTTTTTGTTGTATGCTTCCTTAGCAAAAAAAGATACTCAGGACCTTGTCAAGACTCTTATACAGTCTCGGGCAGGAATCCAATAATTTCTCCTGTCCAAACTTTAATCTTACAATAATATTAATATATAAAGACACAACTATTTGCCAATATTCTGTCCATCATCTGACTTTGCAGTTGCATAGTAGCAGTCCAAACATTTCACTACTTCGAAATTGGGAGATAAAACAACACAGAACAATGGAAGTACTGTAATGATGGCATAATTATGAAATGATTTGAATAGTTTCCATATCTTGAAAAATATTCAGTAGAAGAAATGAAATCAAGTTAAATTCAAGTCTCAAAAGATGATTTACTCACAAAAAATGCATGAAAAATTAGTATTTATAGCTTTACACAACTAAGTAGCTTAACAAGGAATATATTCATGATTGAATAATTAAACTTTTAAAAAAGAATGCTTTCAAGTTACATAATTAACATGGAAAGCTGGCAATCAAAGATATTAAGAATTCCAAAATAGATTTGCCTTTGCTATAGATCCATCCAGGCTCTCATTAGGCTCCTTACTCTTAATATTGGCATAATCAAATGCTTCCATATAACCATCAGATCTGCTCCTCAAAGCAACAACCAAAGACTTCTCAGAATTTTCTCAGTCATACACCCATTCCCTAGGAAACCCAAAAAGATCAAGAAAAAATAAGGGTAATCGCCATAAGAGTAAACATTCCAAAATATTCAGTTTACATCCCCCACACACACCACGTATGCTATTGGGATATTTCCCAGAGGTCCAACTTTGCTCAGATTCATATTGTCATATTGAGGAGGTGAAACGCTTGTTTTCTGCTGTGACCAGGACACAGAGCAATGGATTCAAACTGCAGGACAAGAGATTCCACCTAAACATTAGGAAGATCTTCTTGATGGTAGAGATGTTTGACAATGGAACATGGTGCCTCAAAGTGCACTAGAGTCCCCTTCTCTGGAAGTTTGTAAACAGAGGGGGTGACCAGGGCTGTAGCCAGAAAAAAAATTCGGGGAGGGTTGACAATTTCGGGGGGGGGGGGGGGGGGGGGGGTTGAAACCTGCCTCCTAGCTCACACTGAAGCAAAGAGCACAGCTGCAGGGGGCAGAGCAACCTTCAATAGCCTGCAGCTCCACCCCTGTCAACCACCTCCACCAAGTCTGGCCTCCTTAATGAGAGCATCCAACCCCCCCCCCCCTCAACTTGGTTGCTTCGCTACATCGGCTATTGCTGCAAGTGATGACAGTGTGAATAAATGGTCAATATTTGCTTGAGATAATGCTTACAGTTTTGGAGGGACTCTTAATTTTTTGCATCTCATAGACTTAGCAGCAGGGGGATTGGGTTAACCAGTTAAAATTCATGAGTAAACCAGGTTTTTTAAAAAATATCTGAAACATTTCGGGGGGGGGGGGTTGAACCCCTAAAACCACCCCCTCGCTACAGGCCTGGGGGTAACCATATGTTGGGAGTGCTTCGATTGTATTTTCCTGGATGGCAGCAGTTTGGTTTGGATGGCACTTGTGGTCTCTTCCCACTCTATGATTCTATAAAAACCATCTGGATAGGCCTGCCGAAAAAGATTGGTTCTTAATGTTTTAAATGCAAACATCATGTCCAGCTGTTGAATTTCTTTTGGCAGGTTATTCCACAATTTAGGGGCATATGAGAGGAGCAATTTTAGTATAGATGTAATATGATAGCACCTAGATGTAACAGTAATCAATCTGACTGCAATACTATACACTAATTAACTTGGTACAGAAGTCACCCCATATACATGTTTTGCAGAAGTCCAACATTGAGGTTACCAGCGCATGCACTACCATCTTTATGTCCTCCACTTCTAGGAAGGGGCACAGCCAGCATCAAAGCCAGAACTGATACAACGACTTGCTGTTGTATCTATCTGAGCAGTAATTTAGAGCAACAAGCCCAGAAACACTTCAAGCTGCGAACAGCCTTTCAGTGGGAGTGCAACTCCAGCCAGGGGCAGCTGATACATCTCCAGCCCAGGTTAGGACAGTAAGCACCTGCATTTTGTTTGGATTCAGGCTCCATTCCCCTCGCTCTTTCATCCAGCCTAATATCTCCTCCAAACAGTCATTCAGAGGAGACACATCTGTCCTTCGCTGATGCTATTTTTGAAGGCAAAAAGTGTATGGTGAACTACTGATCTCTGTACCACACTGGTCTCATTACACACAAGTTATACTGACATGCTAAGTAGCATTGCTGAATTCTGAATGAACTGTGACAAGAGAAGACAGAACAATGTCCTGTGTTCTTTGAATGGGCAGCAGGTCTTTGCGTTTTTTTCTGAATCATAAACAGTGAAGAGAGGGGAAGATTAAAGTGTGTGTTGGTATGTGCAAATGAGATAAAGACAGAGGCTGAGGTTATATCCACACTGCTTAATTATAGCACTTTCATATGTCTTTAACTGCCATGCCTCTATTCTATGGAATCTATTCTATGGTAGTTTGCTCAGAGATACTTACAATTCACTAGTGCATTCCTCTAAACTATGGCATTAGACCTCTCTGGAATCTAAACATCTTACCAGATTACAAATGTCAGAATTATGTAGAATTGAGCCATAGCAGTTAAGCAGTTTAATTTCAGTGTGGAAGGTATATCTGGATAATTAATGCAGTTTGATACCACTTCAACTGCCTTGGCAGAAAAGGCTAAAAACCTTATAAAACTGCAGTTCCCATTTTTCCATAGCATTGATCTGTGGCAGTTAAAGTGGTGTCAAATTGCATTAATTCTACAGTGCAGTTGCTATCTGAGAGAGTGGGATGGGGATAAAAGTGTCCTTTAAGAGTCATATTTCCATAAGCAATCCAACCTGTGTCCAATTCCCTAGGAGTCCTCATTGAATAGTACTGATTTCTGAGGAGATCTCTGTGCATTCTCAGAGATGATTGATCCTTTTGCATTTTTCAAAATAGAACCCTGCTTATTTTGGAATGATTTTTCACCTTATAAAACACCTTCCTATATTAGCTCAGTAAATCTGAAAGTAAACCGAGCCCTCAGTGAGGTTTGTATTATTTCAGTTTTGACAAGGAAATGGTTGTATTGGAGGTTCTACTCTGAAGTTGTTCACCTGTATTATGTAACTTGCTTAAAAATGCTTTTGCAACTCTTTCTTGGTTGATCTGCTTACACACACAAGGTCTGGGGACATTTTTATTTTGAAATGGCAATTTATAACAGTTGTTGTTCTTGATTTTATGTGCGCCTTGAGTACTTTACAGGTCAAACTCTTCTCTGGCTCTGAAACAAGTGCTGGCAATAATTTGTTTTATTTGCTTGCTTACTCATTATTTATGTGCCTATGTGTACAGCGGCATTGTGCTTCTGAAAATGAAACAGAAAATACAATTGCATTCATTTCTTGCTGGTGGACTTCCCTTAGGCCAGGCATGTTCAAAGTCCGGCCTGGGAGCCAATTGTAGCCCATGTTAAAATTTCCCTCTCTCTCCAGGCCTCTCTCCCTCCCTTCCTCCCTTGCTTCTTTCCTTTCTCCATTTCTTGGCTTCCTTCCTCTCTTCCTTCCTTCCTTGTTGGGGACCAGGGCCCTGGAAAAGAGAAAGAGCGATGGCGGCCTCTTGTGTCCTTTCACCCCAATTAAGTGTTGCCTTCTCCTTGGGTGGATCCAGCCTTGGGAATCCTGTCCCAGTGGCCCTTTGCCTTCTGTCTCTTCCTCCACAACATTTTCTTTGTTTGCAAAGGAAGCCCCCCCCCCCCCTCCAACTGCCTGGCTTGCCCCAGGTGTTCGCCACAGCTGCTGCCGCCACCACCACCGCTACATAGAATCATAGAATCAAAGAGTTGGAAGAGACCTCATGGGCCATCCAGTCCAACCCCCTGCCAAGAAGCAGGAATATTGCATTCAAATCACCCCTGACAGATGGCCATCCAGCCTGGTCAGGAAGGATGAACCCTGGAAGTCAAACGTCTGCCTGGCTTCCCTCCCTCCATCCCTTCTTTCTCCCTCCCCCCCTCACCTCATGTTTTCCAAAAAAGGTTGCTCTTTGCTGCAGTTCCTCTCTTAGGAAGAAAAGGGGAGAGCCAGGTTGTGACTATAACCCCCCTGCCACAACCAAAGCCCTCCCAACAGATGGCTATGCTGCCTCTACTGAAAAACCTCCAAAAAAGGAAATTTCACCAGACACTGAGGAAGCACATGCCACTGTCTGAAACATCTTGAGGGAACATAACAACAGCAATCCTAATTAACTTGACTCTCTCATCAACCAAAATCAGGCCCATACTTCCCATCGAAAGACTGGCATGTTTACATTGGTTAAATTTATTCTTTGTTTTACATACTTTATTGTTCTTTCTTTGGGTTTTTTTTTTTTTGCACTACAAATAAGACATATGCAGTATGCATAGGAATGCATTTATGTTTTTTTCAAACTCTAGTCTGGCTGAGGTCCCTCACAGTCTGTTGTCCCTCATAGGCTGAGGGACCGTGAACTGGTCCTTTGCTTAGGCAACTGGTTGGCCTTGTGAAGATGGGACTTTGGAAGCAACCAGCATCCTTTTTCTTCTATTTTGTTTACAGACATGGTAAGTGTCCATGCATCTAACAACTTTCCTTGCTCTGAAATGGGTGTTTACAGCTCATTTTGCAGGTATGGATCTTGCTACCTTAAGAAGGATCTCAAACTCGGAGGCATCTCTCTTCATGGGAAACCTATATATGTGCTGAATATGTCCATCTACTACCACTATTAAAAGTATAGGAGCCCTGTGCAGTGACAGACTGGGTCTAATATTGGTGCCAGGAGACAAAGGGGATCCACTCAGAACTATAAGGATTTAAATTTTTTTTAGTTGCATTCAGTAATAATATTGGAACATCTATTATATTTTCATGCTACTAAATGGTCATTAACATTTTTAAGTATTGTCTAATGTTTAAGGAGGCCTACTTGCCATTGGACAAGATGAAATTCTGGTCAGTCCACCAAAGATGGCTAAAAAAGGAAGAGGACCAAGTAGAGTACAAACACTGTTAGTGGTACACATTACCTGTGGGCATCATGTTGTTCAGCCTGTGTAATCCGCAAAAAAAAACCCCTAAAGGTGACATGGTTAACCCTTTCCTATTTCCCTGCATACTTCACACAAGAAACAAATAATTTGCATAATATGAAAAGAAGGCTATCTTCGTTTATTGAAGGTTGAAAAAAACAGTTGGGGGATTTCCAAACTAAGTTCCAGTGCTGAATAAAATAAAAGTGCCACCTCCACTTTGCATTCACTATCTCTTAGCTGAGCTTGAAGTAAGAAAAGTATCTTTTTTTGAAATCAAGGCATCTGTATTCCAGGTGAGTGATGATGGACATTAGATTTTGCTGTTAGCTCTAAAATACACAAATCCTTCTGTTACGTAGGACTGCTGCAAACCAATAGAATCAATTTATTTGTATTTGGAAAATGTATCCAGTTTCCTAAATCAGAACCACATCAATTTGATTTCAGATGTAACAGTACTGTTTGGTACAAATCTTTAGAATAATGTGGTTCTGAATTCTGTGAAGCGACAAGATTGAAGTTCATGTAGAAAGCTTGTTAAAGATGACCAGGTACTCCTCTCTCCTCAAAACAGCAAGATGTTCTGGTATCAGCCATTCTCTGAGTTTGGTTCCTTGTGGAAGGAGAAGTTCTTGAAAAAGGATTTCAGCTAAATATCTAACTATAGCTTAATTGGAGGCAAAGAGGGTAAGGAGAAAATTGACTGCTCCATCTTAAAATCACTAAAGAGAGTGAGAAGGAAAGTTATAAGATGATGGAGTGGTCTTTCTGAATGGAACTGGGAATTGGATGGGAAGAATCCAAAGTGCTGCTCAATAAACTGCAGGAAGATCCACTGGAGCAGAGATAGCCATCCCTAAAGAGAACAGGCAATCTATATAAATAAAAATGTAACGTTCATTTATGGGATTAACAGAACTCAAAAACCACTGGACAAAATGACACCAGATTTGTCAGCAAAACACATTCTAATCCGATCTATGTCTTTCAAACAAAAACAAAAAAAAAACCCCGTAAAAAATGAAGGGGAAATAACTTAAAACTCCCCAAAAAGAAAAATGCCTTACAGAGCATACACAAAGCCCCCCTCCCCATTGCGCAAGAAGAATGAAGCATCAACTGTTGTGAGGGAAGAGAAGCCTCACCAGGAAGGAAGGAAGGGAAAAAGAAGGAAGGAAGGAGAGAAGGAAGCATGGAAGCAAAAAGGAAAAGAAGAAAGGAAAGAGGTAGAGAAGGAAGAAAGGAGAGAAAGAGGAAAAGAAGAGGGATGGAAAAATGGCTAGAGAAAGAAGGAAGGAGAGAAGGAAAGAAAAAAGAAAAGGAAGGAAAGAGGGAGCGAAGGAAGAAGAGAAAGAGAAAGAGGGAGGGAAGGAAGGAAAGATAAAAGAAAGGATGGAAGCAAAAAGCAAAGAAAGGAAGGAAAGAGGCAGAGAAGGAAGGAAGAGAAAGGGAAGTAAAAGTAAAAGGGAGGAAGGAAAGAGGTAGAGAAGGAAAGGAAGGAGAGAAGAAAAAAAGAAAAGGGAAGGAGAGAAAGAAGGAGAGAAAGAGGGAGGGAAGGGTGGCCACAGCAACGTGTGGCGGGTACAGCTAGTAGAAGATAAAATGCCAAATAGTGGAAAAGTGAAGCCACCTCAGGAGACTTACAATGCCATCTTTATTTCTACAGTTGATAAGAATCATTTCTTCTAACCAAGAGTGAAATAATATTAGAAGACATAGTCATATTAGTCTGGACCACTATGCAAAGGGATCTTGTAGCACCTTTGAGACTGAGAGAAAAAAGTATTTGCTTTCAATGCTTTGTTCTCTCAGTCTTAAAAGAGAGTGAAAGAGTGAGAGCATGATTATGGTACTCAAAGATCTCAGTAATTTGTAATGGCGAAGAAAAGGAAAAAATGTTCCTTCATATTCTTCTGCTTAGTGCATTTTTTAAAAAAATTGAAAACTGTTCCACTAATATACCTTTTCAAGAAAATTGAATATCTGCATAATGGAAAGGGACTATCCTATCCCATGGTATTCCCTGTAGTAACCTACGGATGTGAGAGCTGGACCTTAGGGAAGGCCGAGCGAAGGAAGATCGATGCTTTTGAACTGTGGTGTTGGAGGAAAGTTCTGAGAGTGCCTTGGACTGCGAGAAGATCCAACCAGTCCATCCTCCAGGAAATAAAGCCCAGCTGCTCATTGGAGGGAAGGATACTAGAGACAAAGTTGAAGTACTTTGGCCACATCATGAGGAGATAGCAAAGCCTGGAGAAGACAATTATGCTGGGGAAAGTGGAAGGTAAAAGGAAGAGGGGCCGACCAAGGGCAAGATGGATGGATGGCATCCTTGAAGTGACTGGACTGACCTTGAAGGAGCTGGGGGTGGTGACGGCCGACAGGGAGCTCTGGCGTGGGCTGGTCCATGAGGTCACGAAGAGTCGGAGATGACTGAACAAATGAACAACAATCCTATCTTAAATCTTCAAGTTTAGATATATGCTTGGCAAAAACTATGGGACTGCATCAAACATTTGCTGTATATACTCGAGTATAAGCCAACCCACATATAAACCAAGGCACCTAATTTTACCACAAAAACTGGGAAAACGTATTGACTCAGGTATAATCCGAGGGTGAGAAATGCAGCAGCTTCTGGTAAATTTCAAAATAAAAATAGATACTAACAAAATTACATTAATTGAGGCCTCAGAAGGCTAAATGTTTATGAATATTTACACAAAACTGCAATTTAAGGTAAGACTGTCCAACTCTGTTTAAAACATTATTCTCACCTTCTTCAATGTAAATTGCTTACGAATCCTTCCAATATTAATAGAGTAAAATAATAAACATAATAAAAATAATAATAGAGTAAAATAATGGAAATGCAATAATAAAGTAAAATAATAAATGTAATAATAACAATAGTAAATAGAGTAAAATAATACTTTTAATAACAACAATAGAGTTAAATTATAAATGTAATAATAATAATAATAATAATAATAATAATAATAAATATAGTAAAATAATAAATAATCTTGACTTGAGTATAAACCGAGGGGGGCTTTTTCAGCATAAAAATTCTCCAGTATATACAGTACTTTGATGTTGTTCCTATGCCACTTTTCACTTCTTAACCGAAAGACCCACAGTTCAAGAAGCCCTGATTTAAGACTTTACCACATGCAAGATCCTCATTTCCACACACTTCAAAATTCATACGTGAAGCAACTTCTGCCTCTTGCCCGTGCTGCTTCTTCTCTAAACTGTCTGTGAGATGTAGGGGAACTACGGGGAATGAGAGCTGGTTAGAAAGCATATTCTGAGCTCATGATTTGCAAAGAAACAGGAGAAAGCAGGGACACTTTGGGATCTGACAAATTTGCCTGTGTTGAATCGCTTCAGTGATGTGGAGCAATGGGTGTTCCTATGGGTGGTCTCCCACCGAACATTGATGCTCTATTTCTCTCCCAAAATCTGTCTTAATAGTGATGCCTCCTGTCTCTTTGAGAATAAGGGGACTGGGAGGGAAAAGCAAAGAACAAGAACACTGAACATGCTGGTATTGGAGGAATGCAGCAGAACAGAGGTGACGGGGTGGGTCACGAGATAGGTGATGAGAAAGTCAGAAAATAATGATCAATTCAAGGCAAAGACCAAATAGAGGGATATTTAGGATAGAAATGGCAACCTAAGACAAAGGACAAAATGTTATTCTACATGTAACTGAAGCTGAAAGGACTGCCAACTGAATCTAACTTTGACATTGACAACTAGTCAGCATTTTGTATTGTAATTAGTGGTAGCAGACAAATATAGGGAATCTAGAGTTGACTACTTCAGGGGGTAGAGCGTAGGTTGCATGGTGCTTAGGATTGCGAAGCAGCTGCCTCAGTTTGCCCAATAGTAGAGCCAATCCATATAGCCATATCAAGAATGTTCCAACTGCTGCTGTAGAAAAAAAAATGGATATTTACTTTACTACACTTGGTTTCAGCTATTATCTAAATTGTTTTATCTGCATTCCCAAACACTTCTAATTTATCACTTTATTAAACTTGCTTAATGGACAAAATAATCCAATCATTTGATAATGTCAGAGTAACCCATTCATTAAGGTTCCTGCATTTATAGTGTTGAACACTAAATTATAATCTAGGGAAAGGAAAAGTGGTTTTACATTATACTGTATCTTTTACATTTTATCTAGATAATTTGTTTTACAATTGCATTATATAATTTTAAATTTTATGATTCCATCCCTTTGTATACTTGTGTGTGTGTGTGTTTGTATGCATTTGGCAGGATCCACTGTTTTTTATTCTTTCGCTTTTAAAGCACCATGCATATTGATGGTGCTATATATATAAAAGGAGAAGTGCCTTTTTGTTGCTGGTGTGTGTGAGTGTATTAAGAATAATAAAACAACAACAGCAACAAAAAGGCACCACTCCTCTTCAAAGCATAAAAATAATTGTTGTGTAAGGATCATTTTCTAAACCATGCACATGTGAATTGGGACTAACTGCCACTTCCACAACACCAACTGTGTAGGTTTTTGCACCATTCTATGGACCTGAAGTGTACTACACACCTCAATTGCAGATACAGTGACTTGTAGTGCATTTTCATTGTGCATTGACAGAATGTGATGCTTTCTCACTCAGCTGTAATTTTGCCTTTGGCTATTGTGCTCAGAGACAGTAGGATATCTTCCTGTCAATGTGTCATACACTTTTAGTGAGACAAGGGAGGTCTGCCATCATTCTCTTGTCCAAATTAAGGGTTAGAAAACCGATTATGGAAGTATAGAATCATAGAGTTGGAAGAGACCGCAAGGGCCATTCAGACTAACCTCCTTCTGCCAAGCAGGAGTATACAATCAAAGCACCCTGCCAGATGACCAGCCCACCTCTGTTAAAAACCTTCCAAAGATGAAGGCCATCATACTTGAGACAGTGTATCCCACTGCCAAATAGCTCACACAGTCACAAGTTCTTCCTAATGTAATACATCTTCTGCAGAGGGCAGGTTTTTAGCGTTTCACTTTGTTTCTTCCTTTTTATAACTTCAACACTTTGCACAAATTCGTTTCCCATAGAGTTTCATTCAATATGCACTCAAATTCTTTGGCTCTGTCTGTATATGTCTAACCACAAATCTAATAGGTAGCGCCTTATCTGCCTCATACATTGGCTTGAGTTTTTGCAGTTGGGTGTCTTATTCTAAAACAATGAAAACATGTTTCCTGGAAAACCTTAAATTCTGTCTGTTACTATGTTGAAGAAAAGCTGATAATTAGCAGGCATTTAATTAGCAGAGACCTAAACCATCAAAATATTCGTGCAGGTAAGCATTCAAAAAATCTAATTTCCTATTAATCTTTTCTTGCGCCTACAGTACTAGATTATGAGAATCTTGTGCCAGTGCAGACCATCTTTTTTCTTCATTGTCTATCTTTTTTCTTATTCTTTCAAAGGGTTACAATCTATTATGCAGCCCTATACACATTTACAAGAACCTAATTTCCAGTCACAGTGCCTTACATGTAGAATCTTAGGTTCTAAGGTTGTTTTCATATGTGGGGGTATTTCGGGATTATTATGTCAGTACCTGTTTGTTTTATTGAGGCATTGTATATTTGCCTTTTTGTATGTTGGAATCCACTGAGTCCCCCGGGGAGAGAGGGCAGAACATAAATAAAGTTGTTGTTGTTGTTGTTGTTGTTGTTGTTATTATTATTATTATTATTATTATTATTATTATTATTATTATTACACCTGAGTTTTTCTGTGTAAGATAACACTGTTAGGCTGTAACTCTGTATCTATACATACTTACTTGAGAACAAACAACATTTAACTAAGTGGGGATTTTATTTGAACAGGCATTCTACTGTTATTCAGTGATCCAGTATATATGGACGCAGATACCAGCCATAGGCTGTGAATTACTTTCCCCCCAAAGTCCCTATCCTTCCGATCAACACTTAAAGTTTCTCCAATATACCTGTTTCCAGCCAATATACCTGTTTCCAGTGGTGCTGAGCTGGCTTTGGCTTTTTTTAAAAAAAAACTGGGGAGGATGTTTTTCTCAGCAAAAGCATTTTAAGCAGAAGACTCTGGGAAAAGACCCTCACTTAAGCCCTTGAAATACTTTGCAGACAATCAAAGAGGACTGAGAAATATGGACCAACGATCTTATTAAGAAAGCTTCAAGTGTCGAGTGCCAGACTTTTCCCTAATATATTCGCACTTCCTACTTTTACTGCAGCTTCGATTTATATGCTGTCTGATTTTATAGAGAGATGATGAGGGTGTAAAGCCAATTCTAGATTTATGTCCCAACTATTACAGGGCTGCAATATGATGAGTATTTACTCATTCTGCTTTGTGCTAAGGAGCTTACTTCCTATTAAATGTGTTTCTCCCAATTTGAGAAAGCGTACTTCTCAGTTCAGCTGGACAAAAACAAAAGTAGAAAAGGAAAGGCTGAAATATCATGTAAGGCACGTCAGTTCCTTATTCACTGGTTTATGTGATCCAATATCCTACTGATTTCATAACACAGACACTTGGGCCAGGTTGTCTGCCATTAAACTTGTGATTAACTTCTGAAAATTATTATGGAGTTACCTGTGACTCTGATGGAACTGAACCTCGTATGGGTACCACAGTATCCCATTTTGCTGCCTCGGCCTCCTCAAACTAGTGTAATGTGGTGGTTTGAGGGCTGGACTGGGACTAGGGAGACCAGGATTGAAATCCCTGCTTGGCTATAAAACTCACTGGGTGACCTTGGGCAAATCACTGGGTCTCAGAGATAGGGAATAATCCCAAGAAAACACCATAACAGGTTCATCTTAGAGTCGTCATAAGTTGGACCTTTGGAGTTACAAGAGATTTATTAACTTGCATGGTTACAATGGCATTGTGTTTTTCAATGGAGATGGCACCAATTTCCTAATTTTCTCTCTTTCTCCCTTTTCTCTTTGTGTCAGCAGAAACCTATGTGCTTGCTGGGCCATCGATACCTCCACTTCCTCTCAAAACAAGTAAGTTGGCATGGTTGCTCTTTCTTGTGTTCCTTCTAGGGTAAGGTGTTTGACCACACAATAGCATCTCAATGCCATAAAGTAGTTTTTGTGCCTCATGATGATTCCAGGTCTCTCTGCAGCAATAGTTCCATCCATGAACCTAGGAAAGGAAATAACATTTGCTATTATTTATTCTCTGCCCGACAGTTGGGAAACCCTTTTGGAAAGGAAAACAGATCAAAGAGAATTTTTCACAATTTCTTTTTTGTATTACAATACCTGATGTAATTGCAGAAAAGTTGTTTTGTCTAGAAAAAACATGTTTCCTATGGAGAAACAGTGTATTCTGCACAGAAGACAAGTGGTGGAGGTGTGTCTGTGCCAAATGTGTGTATGTGTGTGTGTTTCTAAGCAGAATAATTCCTCTACAACACTTCAAGATTTTGAATACTGGATAAATAGTGCAATGGAATTGTTTTCTAATCTTTTTTATAACTGCCTCTCCAGGGAACTACCTTTCTCCTTCCCAGGGCTGTGCTGGTCATGGACTGTAATAAAGTTTTGTTGTTGTAGTGCAATAAAATATTCATTTTTCGCATAGTAGGGAGAAAATGACTGTAATTCATGCACCAGAATAAAATTTTTGAGGATTTACATTCCTGCATTGGCCTAGAGATTCCCACAGAATTCTATCTGCCCTTCCCTCTCTGCCCCGGAGTGAGGTGGAGGATCCTTCTTTGGAGGCTTTTAAACAGAAGCTGGATGGCCATCTGTTGGGGGTGCTTTGAATGCAATTTTTCTGCATCTTGGCAGGGGGTTGGACTGGATGGCCCACGAGGTCTCTTCCAACTCTATGATTCCCCTGGCTATTTAACCTCTACATGGAATTGCTGCAGGAAATTGTTTGGAGTTTGGGACTTCGGTGACACCAATATGCAAATAATGCTCAAGACAACCAAATTATCATCTGTATATTACTGTTCAAAAAAAGTGGTTAATGTTGTGTCTGGTTTTGGTACTGGGCTACATAAGAACAGACTGAAACGCAATCCATACAAGATAAGAGACCAGTGGAGAGGAAGATGGAGGAAATTAGGGTTTTGAATGATATGATACTGTTTTTGTATAAAGAAGATTTGAAGTAGATTTCCTGGATGTACCAGCCCTGGATGCCCAAGCTCCACCAGTTAGCCGAATTTCTGTCATCTCTCCTTATTTTGTGGGGTTAGGGCACAAGACCCCTGTGAAAATGGAAAAACCTTGAATTAACAAAAGTATCCCCTTTACCAGAGAGAGTAACACTCTAGGAATGACTGAGTCATTTATGGTCAACTTCCAATGAAATTGTTCTGAAGGACCTATCAGTGACTATCAAAGTGCTATCTTTAGGAAACTCTAGATCCTCCAATGTGAATCTATAGGTAGTTCCCACTGGCAGTTGACCAAAGAGTTGAACAGAAGAATGTAGAGACTCCTAGAGAGGAAATCTTAATCAAATCTGTAAATAATCAAATCCACAAAAGTGAAACCCACAAATTTAGAGGGCTGGCTGTGTTTTTGCCATAGCTGAGCTGGTGAGTGAATTCTGTCCTGTTTTATAGATTTCTGATCTTGCCATGGCAATGCATCGCCTTAGTGACATCATACTTTGAATTTAATAAGCTTCTTTGTTCTTAATACTACAGCCAGGCTGTTGACCAAGTCCAATTATAGGAGGCATGTGACTCATCGACTGACTGCTAATGCATTTTTGAGCACAGTGCAAGTATCTCTAAAATGGCAAATGGTTAGGTACAAAACTATTTGTGGATCTGCTTTCTTCTGTACAGATTTCCCTAGTTGCTCTCTGATCTTCCTGATAAGCCCTCCCCGCTGTCCTGCCAACATCTGCTGCATATTCGCAGTTGCTGCACCCACCAAACTTTTGGTTTTTTTCCCCCAAAATAAATCCCATGTAGCCTCTTGTTAAATGGCTTTCTGCTGGCAGCAAAACTACCGATACAGGCATACAAGCTCCCTGGTTCACCGAGGAACTGGCAGCGATGAAGCGAAGGAAGAGGGAACTAGAGAATGTGTGGCGTTTGGATCCGAGCGAGCCAAATTGAACACGGTTTGTGTCCTTTTTAAGGGCATATGCTGCGGCAATAAAAGCCGCAAAGAAGGCCTTCTTTGCGGCCACTATTGCGTCTGCAAAGAACCGTCCGGCTGAGCAGTTCTGAATTGTCAGAGGCCTTTTAAATCCCACCGCTCAAGGTGGGAACCCTGATGATTCGACTTCTCGCTGTGAAGCTTTTGCTCAGTTCTTTGCAGACAAAGTCGCTTTGAACCGTTCTGGTCTGGATACCATATTAATGGCAGTTTCTGAGGATGTAACACGAGCACCTGCTTGTCCAGTTTTGATGGATTCATTTCAATTGGTGAAACCCGAGGATGTGGACAAGATACTTGGAGGAATGAGGCCAACCGCATGCATCCTGGACCCCTGCCCATCCTGGCTTCTAAAGGAGGCCAGAGGGGGATTGGCTGAGTGGGTTAAGGTGGTGGTTACTGCTTCCCTTTGGGAAGGCAAGATTCTAGCGAGCTTAAAACAAGCTATAATAAAACTGCTGTTGAAAAAACCATCACTGGACCCCACTAAATTCGGCAACTATCGGCCAGTTTCCAATCTCCTCTTCTTGGGCAAAGTCTTGGAACGTGTGGTGGCCTCACAACTCCAGGTATTCTTGGTAGACACGGATTATCTAGACCCGGCACAGTCTGGCTTTAGGTTGGGACATGGTACCGAGACAGCCTTGGTCGCCTTAGTGGATGATCTGCGCCGGGAGCTCGACAGGGGGAGTGTGTCCCTGTTGGTGCTGCTGGACCTCTCAGCAGCCTTCGATACCATCGACCACGGTATCCTTCTGGGACGCCTTACGGGGATGGGTCTTGGAGGTACTGTTTTGCAGTGGCTCCGGTCATTCCTAGAGGGTAGATCTCAGAAGGTGTTGTTGGGGGACACCTGTTCAACCCCACAACCATTGTCTTGTGGGGTTCCACAGGGCTCAATCTTGTCTCCTATGTTGTTTAACATCTACATGAAGCCACTGGGGGAGATCATCCGGGGTTTCGGGGTACGGTGTCATCTGTACGCGAGGATGATGTCCAACTCTGTCACTCCTTTCCACCTGCTACTAAGGAGGCTGTCCAGGTCCTGAACCGGTGCTTGGCCACTGTGATGGTCTGGATGAGGGCAAACAAATTGAAATTAAATCCAGACAAGACAGAGGTACTCCTGGTCAGTCGCAAGGCCGAACAGGGCATAGGGTTACAGCCTGTGTTGGATGGGGTCGCACTCCCCCTGAAGACACAGGTTCGCAGCTTGGGTGTGACCCTGGACTCATCGCTGAGCCTGGAACCCAGGTTTCGGCAGTGACCAGGGGAGCATTTGCACAGCTAAAGCTTGTGCGCCAGCTGTGCCCGTACCTTGGGAAGTCTGACTTGGCCACGGTAGTCCACGCTCTGGTTACATCCCGTTTAGACTACTGCAACGCTCTCTACGTGGGGTTGCCTTTGAAGACAGCTCGGAAGCTCCAACTAGTCCAACGCTCGGCAGCCATGATTTTAACAGGAGCGGAGCGCAGGGAGCATACAACCCCCCTGTTGTGCCAACTCCACTGGCTACCGATCTGCTACCGGGCTCAATTCAAAGTGCTGGCGTTGGCCTTTAAAGCCCTAAGCGGTTCCGGCCCTAGCTACCTATCTGACCGCATCTCTGCGTATGAACCCACCAGGACTTTGAGATCTTCCGGGGAGGCCCTGCTCTCAATCCCGCCTGCTTCTTAAACACGGCTGGCGGGGACGAGAGATAGGGCCTTCTCGGTGGTGGCTCCTCGGCTGTGGAACGCCCTTCCTACGGACATTAGACTAGCACCATCTCTAATGGTATTCCGCAAAAAAGTGAAGACCTGGCTGTTTGAGCAGGCGTTCGAATAATTAGTGCAATGATTGGTTAATGAACACTGGAATGGAGCAATGGATGATGAATCTGGAACATGTTTTTGATGATGAGACGACAGTGAATGAGTATTGTAGTAACTGTTTATTAATTGTGTAATGTGTTAGGTTGTTAACTGTTTTTATACTGTAGCACTGAATTTTTGCTGTTCGTATTTGTTGTGAACCGCTGTGAGTCGCCTTCGGGCTGAGAACAGCGGTATATAAGTAAGGCAAATAAATAAATAAATAAATAAATAAATAAATAAATAAATTTGGCCTATGGAGATATATCTCTTTGTTGCTTTATGTGTTGACTTGCATTTTTAACCTCTGCTTTAGCTGACTAATATGATGATGTACTTATATTTGTTTGTAATGTTTTTTGTGGTGATAAGACATTAATTTGTCCAACCATTATAAACTCAACTGAGTGCCAGTGACTAACATGGAGGTGAATCTTATTTAAAAGGAAATGTAAGTGATTAATGGGAATCATAAAGTTTAATAACTGAGGGAGCTCTTCAACTCTTAGCTCCCAATGTTTATGATTATTTATCTTTGTCTCCTGATGGGGAGAGGACAAGCAGGAGCTCTAACTGGCCAAGAGGCAAAAGTATTTGGTCTAAAGAGGAAATACTAGGGAATAGTCATGACCAGGGTATTGAATTGCTGTTGCTCTCCAAGACCATGGGTGTGGGAGAGAAAATGCTTGGAGAAGGGTACATTGTAAAAGGTACAGCATCTGAGTGGCAATTTACAGGAACTAGATAGCATTTTCTGTATGTTTGAGTGGCATAAAAGGAACACTAACAAGTTATTAGTCAGCAACTCCACAAACTTTATTTCCAGACTACAGCAAATGACTTGCCATTTCTTTTAGCTCTCCAAGATCTCTTCTACCCTCTGAAAAGACTATACAAGTGGGCACTACAAGAGGGCAAAATGACAAAGCTGCAGAATTGTATTCAAGCACCACATTTTGAAAGCAGAAATACAGATTTTTCTGACCACCCATATGCAGTGGAATCACATTGGATTTTATATAAATTGGTTTGGCTTAGAAGGAGTCTTAAAAATTTCACAACAGTCCATTCGTAGACAATTCTGCTGTCTTCTGAGCCAGTGCCAATTTTTTCTTCCTTTCAGATCTACCCATCTCACTCCATGCGGATGACGATTATGATGATGGGGGATTTGTAACTCCAAAGGTTCCTGAAAGTAAGGCAATGCTGTCAGCTGTGGAAAAAAGAGAAGACATGGAAAATAAAAATGGTATGGGAATTTCTCTAGTATCTAATTTAATATATGTGCACTCACTGTGTTAGTCTTCTCACTGTCTTCAAGAGTTGGAGCTGCAATGGTAATTAATGCATGGCTCACTTGTTACGGTATATTAAGATGATATGAATTGAGCAGTTAAGAAAGCGTCACAGGATTCTGTCCCAGCAAATAAAACAATATGGGTTTCATTTCAGCCATAATAAATAAATTTTGTTATAAATATCCTTCATAAAAGAATGAATAGATGGAAGTGAATTTCCCCAAAATAGGATGGATCCAGATTATCTTAGTGACTAATATATAAAAGCTGGTGAAGTGTCAAACTTTTAGGTGCACTTAATGGTGTTCAGCTCAACCATCCACTTATGACCTCATCATATGGGGCTAGAATCAGCAGCATACACTGATATAGCCCCCACCAGCTCCCATCAGATGACATTATGCCAGCTCCATAGGTGAATGGGAGGAACCAGCATGCCACCGCAGCAACACCGGAGGTTTCCTGTGTTGCCTGTATCTATGGGAAGAAGCCATGTACTTCAAGTGCACTCATGCTTCCCCCCATGTGATCATTACGAGCCTTGGGGTGCCAGATTCCCCAAGCCTTGCAGCAAAGCGGAGCACCACTACCTCCTGCCTCTGGGTGTCCGATGAGGTTGTTAGAGGAGACAGAAGGTATCATTCTTAAGACAGGCACCATTTCTTTCCATGGGCTCCTTCCCACTCTCAATTCTCCTTACTCTCAATGAGACAGGAAGCAGCGTTCTTAAGACAGATACCACTCTTCTCCATGGGCTCCTTTGCTTTCCCTCCCAATCCCCACTTCCAAGTATGCACTCAACATTTGTGCTTCAAAATACATCTAATTTAGCCTGATCGCTTTATCAGTCAATGCATTTTAATTCAAAAGTTTTTAAAATGTTCTTATTTCATTCATTTTTTTTCTTTATTGCAACAGTAGTGCAAGAAACATAGTTTTTTTCAGGTTAGTAAAGCAAAATCAAATCCTGCACACTGGATATTATTGCATGTTTACAAGCTATTTAACAAACCTGCTGCCTAGGACTATCTGCTGTGTTCACTATGGGTTGTTGTATGTTTTTTGGGCTGTATGGCCATGTTCTAGAAGCATTCTCTCCTGATGTTTTGCCTGCATCTATGGCAGGCATCCTCAGGGGTTGTAAGGTCTGTTGGAAACTAGGAAAATTGGGTTTATATAGCTGTGGAAAGTCCAGGGTGGGAGAAAGAACTCTTGTCTGTTGGAGGTAGGTGTGGATGTTTCAATTGGCCACCTTGATTAGCATTTGATGGCCTGACTGTTTTTAGGTGTGCCTTGTTACTGCCTGGGGGAATCCTTTGTTGAGAGGTGATTAGCCTCTAATTGTTTCTTCTCTGGAGTTCCCCTGTTATAATTTTAGAGGCTTTTTTAGTAGTAGTAGCCAGATTTTGTTCGTTTTCATGGTTTTTTCCTTTATGTTGAAATTGTCCACATGCTTGCGGATTTCAATGGCTTCTCTGTGTAGCCTGACATGGTAGTTGTGTTCGCCATTTTGTTAAATAAAAAACTGGATCGTCTTCCCAGAGGCCGTTTGTTTTCCCAGGAAATATTAATATAATTCTTATAAGAGTAAGCTGGCAAATTCCTCTCTGCTTTTCATTTTAGAAAAAGAAAGCTCTTTCCCTGGGTTTTTAAATTGGGTTCAGCCTTCTAAATCCCCCAGAGCACCCATCTCCCTTCCCAAAGGAGTTCTATGAGCAGAGAAATTTGTGTTTATTGTATTATTTGAGAATCTCATACTTGCTGACATCTGCTGAATAAGGCCAATCATATTAATTCAGGCATTCAATCTTTAAATATTAGCATATTCTCAAGCAGCTGCTGTAGATAGCCTTTCCTAGTCTTTGCACCATTTAAATTCTCATGATGTTTCCCTCTCTGTGTGTGTAACTATTAAATCACGTATTTTGTGCAATCCTTGAAACATGGATGTTCAAAAGAGATCACAAAAGATCAATGTGATCAATTCACATAAAACTATGCCATAATTCTCTTCCATTCACACTTGAACACAAAGAACATTGAAATTTGAAAATTGCAATAGTTTGCACTGCACTGGGAATAGAGGGTCATAAAGTTTATGAAATTGTGTGTGCCTTGCCTGCAGAAGGTCCCAGTTCCATTCCCTGGCATGAATCTCCATTTCACAGATAATGGAAGAGAGAACAGCTATGACTGGGAGCTGGGTATCACAAAGATAAACCTGGTCCTCCAAAGATGCAAATTTGTCCCAGTTGGGATGACATTTCTCAATATTGGGTGCATCCAGACAGATTTAAAAGTTCCATTTTTATTCTGTTCTTTCCAGTGTTATACTGGATTAAAATAAACTCACCTGGGGAGATGGGTTGTTGTTTTTTTTTAAAAAAAATCTCCAATTGTACTCGGAGCTGACAAATATTCTGGGATAAACAAAAATAAAATCAGAAGGAACAGGAACAAAATATGGTACTTTCTAGTATTTTTAATCATTATGAATGAGCCCTTAGTCTCTTAGGGCTGTGGTTACTGTGTTCTAGCAATGGATTATGTCTTCAAATGAAGTAAGGAAGTTCCAAAACCAAAGCGCAGCCATGAAGAAGGCTTTTCCTCTGTTTCAACAAGATGTACCTGTGATGGTTGTTAGGTAGAAGAGGGAATCACAGCAAGTGTTGTTTGTCACCCAAAACCCCATTTGCATAATCATTAAAGTTACAGAGGTATTCTCCTTTATTGCTCTTAGTAACCCAACTCAGGATGCACTTGGTCTGGACATATTATTTCCTTTGTTTCTGATTCTTATTTCTACACAACTTGTTATAATCAGCATATGCCTTCTTCATAATCCCTAGTGTCTATGTTCACATTATGTCTAGAACTGATATGAATTTGATCTTTCTTTCTTTCTCTACCATCCATAATCCACAAATGCAATGAAGATGCAAAATGAGTCCTTCTGCCTGTTGAAGCCAAGGCCCATGCACAAAATGGACTGCATAGATAAATGACAAATGTACACTTAGTTACTACAGACCAGGGATGCCAATTACCTGATTAAGAAAAGGGAAAACCTGCTTCATAGTTGACAAGAAACCCTTGGCGATGTATGATAAACAAGATCCCCAAATCTACTTTTGGTCTCTCTTTACTCCAGATGACCATACATCCAAATGGAAGAATATGTGGACTGTAATATCAGCACAAGGCCAGATTTTTTTTGTTTAGTTGTGAGTTTCATTGGATACTTGAGGTCTGGTATTCCATAAAACTGTTGACCTCTATTTCTTAGAATACTTTCTAAATCCTAGATGGTTCTTTAACTTTTATACTCTCCACTGCTCTTTTTATACAGAAAAGATCTAAATTGAATGTAATTGTTCAAAGCAACGTTTCCCTACCCACTACTTTATAGCCTTCTCCAGTAATGAAAACTTGGTCTAGATAATTTCTCAGCCCTCTGCAGTAGATGTTTAAGGTCTTTAGGACGGGAGGATGGAGAATTGTATCCTTTCTGTTTGCAGCCACATAAGCTCCCTTTATGAACTGCATAATGACCCATATCATTTGTGTCTCTTCTTGCACAGTAGATACTTGAGAAACAAAGGAGCATTTTCTAGGAATGTTTTTATTTATCTAGAAAATAAACATTATTGTTTATAAATGCTTTATTTAATCTTAAATGAAATCCTTCCACTAATCTGCTTTTCCACAATTGTTTCCACAGCTGAGTCTACACACCAAAGAAGAGTTCATATTTTGATACTTTATGTCATGGTGGCTGTATGCTTTGCCATGTATGCAGGTCTCTTATCTCTGGTCCTGATCAAGCGTAAGTGATCTCTCTCTTATTCAGAACAAAGTCCATTTCAGTGTATTGTCAGGAGCAATCTGAACTAACAGTTTGTATCTTGCTGTGCATTTCATCCTGCACGATTAGCTGCCGAGGGCTAAAGCAACATGCTTCAACCATTCTGAGTAATAAGCATGTATTCAAAACATACATATATTACTGAGTCATCCAAACCTCCACCCCTGTTCCTGGGTGATGTAAACACTGCATTTTCATTGTGTGTATTGTGAATAAGTGATTTTAATTGATGCTTTAATAATTAATTTTAATTGTATGGCTTTAATTGTATTTATTTTTATATTTATATGTAATGGCATTGAATTGCTGACTGCTTTAAGGCTGCCCTGAGTCCCCTTTTAGGATACAAATATGTGAAATAAATACATAATAAATAAATATACTGTATATTATTTTTCCACAGTGATGCAAAAATAATATTTAGATATCAGTGGTGCATAAGTCTTTTGAAGCAAAGAGAGAAAGATCTTTAAAAAGCTATCAACTGTGTCCCTGATTTGGCCACTGAGCTTTCCTCAACAGGAACAACTATCTATTTTTCACCTATTCACCTATTTTTCACTTATTGGCTTTCGCCTATTCAGCTTTGTCTGTTTAATCTGTGGCTCTCATTAACAGCAACATAGGACTCTGCTCTGATAACTGTTTCTAAATCATACTTGACAAATATTGGATTCCTGAAAATATTCTCTCTCTCTCTCTCTCTCTCTCTCGGCATTTAAAAAAGGCCTTATATGATCTATTTCTGATACTCTGCCTTCCAAGCTTCTGGAGAAGAAACAGTCCTTCACCATGTCTCCTTCCTCTACCATTTCCCATTGGATCAGTTTTCACTGTTGCTACAAAGGTCTTGGGAAGTCGGTTGGGCATAATGGTGAGGGCCATTAGATGATCCACAAGGAAGCTGTGGTTCAATTAGGCTCTCTTTGGCAGCGCAATAAGAGTAGCAGCAACATGTCTTTGCCTAATTTTCTTTCTCCAGACTCAGCAGTGTCGGAGGAGCTACAGGCCCTAAACTTGAACTACTCAGAGATGCTTGTGGGAGGTAAGCACTATATCGTTATTACTGTTGTTAGTATTGCAACTACTGCTACTGGTATTATTTTTGTTACTATTCCTCCTATAATTTAGTTATATCTCATCATTTTCCAACCCCAGGATTCAAGGCAGCTTACAAATAGATAAAATACTAACAAAAGTTCACTTCATGAAAAACATACAGAAATATAATTAGATTATGAATAGAATTAAAAACAATTTAAAAGCATATCCATTGAAAAGCAACATATACGGACAGTACACACCACTGTTTAATCAATTTCCCCATAAGAACAACGAAATCTTCACCTGTACAGGAAGGACACCATAGAATGGGCCAGTCCAGCTTTTCTCTAGGAAGGGAAAAGCTGGAAGGCTGTGTGGAAGGGCCCTTCCACACAGCCATATCACCCAGAATATCAAGGCAGAAGAGCCCACATTATCAGCTTTGAACTGGGTCATCTGAGTCCACACTGTCATATATTTCAGTTCAAAGCAGATGTTGTGGGATTTTATTCAGATATGTGAAAGGGGCCCCAGAAGGCCTTCTCTAGTTGTACCTGTGAAGGTGGTGGGACAGACAGAAAGACCTCCCCGGAAGACCTTTAAACCTGGGCAGGCTTACAGGGAAGAAAATAGTATTTCAATCTCATAGGGCTTTGTACGTCAGAATTAGCGCTTTGAATTGTGCCTCAAAATGGATCAGAAGCCAGAGAAACTACTCTAACAAAGGCTTTCTTTGCATTTTATAACTAGTCTCACTCAGTAAACTGGCTGCAGTTCTTTGGTTCAAATAAAATTTCCAGAGACTCTTCCACATCAGGTCCCTGTAAAGTACCACTGCAATAATCCAAACAGGCTGTAACTAAGAAATGTATCACTGTGGCCAAGCCAATTAATTTAAGCAACATTAAAGCTCTTCAATATAAGCAGTTCTTGTTAGTTCTGTTTTGAAGAACATTGCCTTTATGGAGGTGGCAGGGATGGAGGGCTTTGAACTGCTGGGGGTCATTTCTGAAATGTGTTTGAGGCTGGGTGGCTTGTGAATGGTTCAGGAGGGACATCAATCTTTCTCTCTTTTGTACACACACAAACATACACATTCTGCTTGGTTCACTATTTGCCCTGCATTTGAAATAATGGTTCCAGGCCTAATGAAAGACCTTTTGCTGCCTGAGTCAAGAATAAACCACAAGCAATCCAGACAAAACTGATCAAGAATTTGATTTCAAACCAGAATCTTTGCAAATAGAACAAACATACCAACTACATATAACCAAAACAAATGAATAAATCCCCACATATGCCATCTATCATCAAGTTGATTTGAAGCAAAATGATATACATGTAACAATCCTACTTTACTCTAAGAACTAATATAGAGACTTGTCAAGAGGAATAAAGGAAGGGCCATTGACAGACTCATACTGCTCATAAGCTTCATTTTTTCTCCTCCAAATTAAAAAAAATCCTTTGGTATGGGAAGAATAATGGATAACACAACTGGCATGGAGCAATTTACCACAATCACACAGTCTTTGGAAAACATCCTAGGATGTTTCCAGGACACTTCCTCGACGTAGCCCAACAGATGCCATCATACGATGTAACACTACTTCCAGCACAGCTCTATAGAGAAAGCGTTCTGGCAGCTTGCTAGGACACCTCCCAGAGAACATAGGGAGTTTCCTGTGTTCTCATTGAGAAGAATGGGGGAAGCCAGGCAGCAACACTTCCCTCCCGTGGGATAAGGTAAGGGCATAGCAGGTGATGTGGGGCTCAGAGCAATGATTTTCCACCACTGACCACCAGTTTCCTCCCATTGCCTGTCAGAGTCGCTACGCTATGTGGAAAATCCTCCTGCTATTGCCCGGCTTGAGGACTTCCATCGTATGAGGTCCTTAGTGTTGATTGTACACTTCTCAGACCATGTAATCAGGTGTGGAGTAATGGAGCAGGCATGTTGAGGTGGTCTCCACAGCATCTGTTCCCTGAGACAGACCTCCCACTTTGGTGCATAATTCCTGAAGATGCAGAAAGGAAGCATCTGATTAAACGAAAGCAACTGAAGTGCAGGACTCTGCTACCTCTAGAGCACACTCTACACTTTTTTGTAGGTGGGTTTCATTGATCCCATTCACAGATTTGATTCTTTAAAAATATTTAGAAAATACAAGAGTGTTTCAGGTTCAGGCAACTTATAGCCTTTGGGAGAAAAGACTATGAATCTATGCTGCTGAGTGCTTCACTCTTTCATTGCCACCACTGACAGCCTCAGCCCCTTTCCCCCACTATTGAATTGACAGCTAGACTGCAGTGCACCACCAAGGGTAACCTGAGAGCCCTAGTTTGTGAGTATTTTGGTTTTTTCTTTCAGTGTGGAAGAGCTTGGATTACATTCGAAAGATTATGGGAAAGAACATAAGGATCAGTGAATTTCAGAACATCACAGGTGAGGCTGGGGTCACTGGGCATGTTCTATATTTGGACCATTTTTCTTCTGGTTTGATTACCTTGGGGTGGAATTCTGAAAGAAACCCAGCAAAGCAGAAAAAATAGAGCCATTAGGAATGGAAGAGAAGCCCAGAACATTCCAGTAAACACCTGGAGATCTTCCTTCCTGAGTCGTGAGATGTTCTGTCCTGGACAATCCTGGCAAAGGACTGAGAGTATCCACTTCTGTTCTGTGAACAGCAGCTATGGTGGAGGCTCCTTGGCTTTTAAACAGAGGCTGGATGGCCATCTGTCGGGGTGCTTTGAATGCAGTTTCCCTGCTTCTTGCAGGGAGTTGGACTGGATGGCCCATGAGTCTCTTCCAACTCTATGATTCTATGACTCTAGGTACTTCCATCCTTCCTTTCTAACCGACAATAGAGGGGAGGTAAAGGGAGTGGGAGCAAGAAGAGAATTACGTGTAGATACGTGGACTTCTATGTTCGTATACTGACTTCTTCACAGTTTGTACATTTACCACTATGTAATATTGGACAAATGAATAGAAATAATAGGAACTTCGTGGGTCATCTAGCCCATTCTGTTCAGAGCTAGTTCTTCACTCCAGGGGCTTCAAAGGGAACAGAATGATGCCATAAAGGACCTCATCATGTTGAGGTCTGCAACGGGGTTGCCCCATGTCAAAGAAAAGGGTTTCAGGAGAGAGAAGTTACGATTTATTATTTATTATTC